AAACCAGTTAGGCACCCTAGGCATTTGTGAAAACTTATCTATGATATGGTGGATATTGTCCAACTGAACTTGAACAGTCTGAGAGAAATCAGACAAATTAAAACAACCCATTCCTGGGGACTGTTCACATCCCATATGTTCTTTTAACAGTAGATAGTCTGTAGTCATAAGATTTTGGAGCGCTACAACTTGCACTTCTCCTAATTCTTGGTTGAGTTCCAACAGTATAGATCCAGTCAAATTTGTTGTTTTACTGTATGCACAGGCCAGCTTAGATATCTCCTTCTTCATTCCAATGGCAAGTCCAGGAACCGGTGGGATGAATGCAGCTGCAACTGCAGCATCGCCTGGATCTTTGTTGAGGTTTTTTGGTGATCATCTTCTGGTATGACTCTTAAAAATATGGAACGCTTCACAAATTTGCATGTCATCCTTGCGCAGGGGCCATGCTAATCTTCTCTGTATCGTTCCAATTTTAGTATATGTGCTGCTGAAGCGAGCACTGTTTTCTCTTTTTTTTAATTGTGAAAGAGTTGGACTAAATTACTTCTTAAATTACCTTCAGCACTCAAATTCTATGATTCCAAAATCTATGGTTAGGCTTTTAATTAAAAAATTAGCAAACTCTCTTCTGATAATAACAACTTGAGTCAATTAAAAGTACAGTTTACATGTGAACTTTTTACATACATATTTTCTGAAGCACTTTGAGTATATAAAATTTTGCATATTAGGGGCACCAGGTAGTGAGGCTGCTACCATGTAATTGCAGATGCATCAGATTCCTAAAAAATTCACCTAGTGTATTCCTTTCTTTGCAGTGGTTCTCAATGCTAGCTGCACATTAATTTCTTGTAGGGAACTTAAAAAATAGTTTAACAGTATGCTGGTATGCTAGATATCTGAGCATATTAAAAAAAACTCAATTGTAGCATTTGAACATTTCCGTGGGGTAAATACTCCCAGCATGTTTGATATCAGGCTACCAATGTGGTATCACTGAATGCAAGGCTGGGGAGAGATGAACACAAATTGGCTCTCAGGAGGCAACTCCTGCACACCCAGTGCTTGACTGGCTCCCATCCCAAGCCAATTAAAACAGAATCTTAGTGTGAAGCTGAACTAAAGCTTTGCACTTCACAGGAACAACCTGTGTTAATGTATTACTTGGCTTCTTGGAATATAACTCTTCAGATCCATGATTGGAAAACCTTAAATGCTGCAGAAAATAAACCACTCTGAGAAGGGGCCATTCCCATTGCCTTACTTGTCTCTACTTGGTATATAATGAGAGAGAGAATGGTTGGAAGGGTTTGGAATTTTATTTTGCAACTTAAGGTATTAGGACAGTAATTTAAGAAAACTTCTGCAGGATTTACTTTGTATGAACTTTAGAATTTAAGGATGGGTAAGGTATATTAAAGTTAAAAAAAGCCTCAGAATCCTATTTTAAAACCATAGTCTCACTGCTGTTCTTCCCCCTCCCCCCATTCTGTATGACTCTGGATGGTCCCTGGATTGTGGTATGGGGTGGGGTGAGATAGCACATTTCATGGAAGCTCAAAGACCTTTAAGAACACATTCTGAAAACCATTTATAAATTCCACTAGGTTGCTTGAATGTAAAGCAAGTTGACAAAGAACAAAGTAATTTGATCTCTCCCTGAGACAGAATGGATCATAGAAACCTGTGTGTGAAAAGCTAGTTTGTGAGGCAGGAAAGTGCTTTATGATGCAAAGGTGACCTGGAGGACTGAAGTTGTAAAGGCCACTAACTTGTACATCCATTCATGCTTCAAATACTTACTGATGATATAGGCATTACTAGTTTTTACCATTAGACCAGTGTGTATGATAGACAGATAATCCCACCACTGTCTGATGAGAGCTCTAAGAAGGCTTTCCTGGGTGCTCTGAAGCCAGAGAGAAGGTACCTCTCAACTGAGGGGTCAGCACCTCCTCTAGAAGGGTGAGGAGCATAGACTGACACAGCTGTGTCCCGTCCCTGCCTTTGCTTGTGGGGTGTACTCTTTTTCACAGTACATTGCTGTTGAGTGTGTCAATCTTGGCTGTTTTGTAACATTGACCGACTTTGGCAGTTCATTACCAGTTCCCATTGTGCTTCATCTTTTCCCATGAAAAGTTTCTCGACTCTACTCTGTCTGGATCCAGCACACCTTTTCCCTTGCTAGAGAATGATCTGTGGTCTCAACTCCCAACTCCCTGTCACTCATAAACAATGTGCATCTCATCTGCTTCTCAGGCAGTTTCTTCTCTGACTTCCTTTCTGCAGTATCCTCCTCTAAACAATTGCCAAGTCCTGTAAATACTGAATCCACAATCGCAGGAGCAGTGTCTTCTCTACTCTTACTTGGAGCACTCAGGTCCAGGCTCCCCTGACTTCTTGCTGAAGCAGCGCAGAGCCCCCAGAGTAAACTGCCTGTCTCTGTTATCTCCTAATTTTCCCAAATCTAATGTCTCAGTTTAATATGATGCAATGGTGATCACATTATTCCTCTGTTCCAAAAACTGGAAAGACTTCTGGTTGGGCAATGAAGTAGAGATGCCCTGATTTTGCATCGAATTCTTCTGCAATCAAGCCTTCATCTGCCATTTTTATCTTTCTCAACTACTTCATGTTCTCTGGTCAAACTGTATTTTCTGACCCTTGTACAAACTTCTCTTGCTCCAATCTTCTCTGCTTATTCTTGCTGTCCTTTGAGCTGGGACTTTCTTAATACTTTTGTTTCAATACTACCAGCCCATGAAGACTGGTCTTAAATCATAATAATGACAAAGATGATGATGAAGATCAAAATAGTTAACATTCTCAGGTGCTTACAGATACTCTAGAGATTTATGTGCATTTTTAAATAAGAAGAGTTTTACATGAACTGATCAATTTTGTCCTCTCTACAGTCCTAATGAGAGAGTACTATTATTATTCCCATAATGTAGGTGAGGAAATGAGGCAGGCTGGCCAAGTGATCTGCCTAAGTTTGCATAGCCAGTAAATGGAGAATCTGGTGTTCAGACCGTGGCAGTCCAGTTCCAACAATGTATTTATAACAACTTCCCTATTTCACTCTACAATCAAATTGCTGCCTTTACCTAAGTGCTATCAATGTATCTCACATTGTATAAAAGATTTTCCCTATCATGTTTTATTTTAAATCTGACAACAGTCATCTAAGATAATTATAAATGAGGCTCGGAGAGGTTCAGTAGTAGTATATATGCCCAGCATCATGTAGCAAAACGAGGAGGGCTTTGATTCAGACCTCAAGTGTTTCTGATTGCCAATCCTGTTGTCACTGGGCGTGCACCAAATGTCTCTAATAGATGTTTCTCACCCTTTGAAATCTAGCACATTTCCATTGTGTAAATTTCCTTTTTTTATAACCAGCCCAATCTACTGGACAACAAACAACTTGTTAATATGAACCATTCACCTTTCCTACTGCTTTAATAAATGTTCCTAATATACAGGACATTAGAACAGTGTGAGTAGGGGAGGCCAGCGTATCACATGGAGGATAATGCCTGGAAGGCAGTGATGAGACATTTTAAAGGAAGAATCTGCCTCTTAGATGTTTAGACTGCAAAGCTAATGACTTGCTAAAGTGGGGGGAACTCAGGCAAAACATGACATGATGTTAG